AGTTAATCGTAAAAGATAGAGTTAATCGTAAAAGATAGAGTTAATCGTAAAAGATAGAGTTAATCGTAAAAGATAGAGTTAATCGTAAAAGATAGAGAGTTAATCGTAAAAGATAGAGAGTTATTCGTAAGAGATAATGTTAATCGTAAAAGATTGAGATTTAATCGTAAAAGATTGAGATTTAATCGTAAAAGATTGAGATTTAATCGTAAAAGATTGAGATTTGATCGTAAAAGATTGAGAGTTAATCGTAAAAGATTGAGAGTTAATCGTAAAAGATTGAGAGTTAATCGTAAAAGATTGAGAGTTAATCGTAAAAGATAGAGAGTTAATCGTAAAAGATAGAGAGTTAATCGTAAAAGATAGAGAGTTAATCGTAAAAGATAGAGTTAATCGTAAAAGAGAGACAGAGAGTTAATCGTAATATAGAGATTTAATCGTAATATAGAGATTTAATCGTAATATAGAGATTTAATCTTAAGATAGAGATTTAATCTTAAGATAGATGGTTAGTCTCGAGGTAGAGAGTTAAGCCTAAGCTAGAGAGTTAATCGTAAGGTGGAGAGTCAATCTTGGGAGCGCAGCCGTGCACCACCAATTTTGTGCACCTATCAGCCCTGAATGGAACACCTAGCATATTTCCGTATATGACCACCAATCAGCGGCGGATTAAGCCTGCCGTCAGCAACCAGCCCATGACATCAACTTGCTTTAAATTTTAGGAGCTTTACACCACCACATTCTGAAGCCAATAGCCCAGAGTGTAATAATCGTTCACCACTGAACGTTGCATGGAAACATCACTTCTTACCCTGATTGTAGTTTGAACTGTAACCAGCGTACAAACAGACTGCCACTAATATTAGCCTAGCAGCCCTAGCTCGTCAGGGGAACCGCATGAAACCTGCCGTGCACCACCAGACCGCGGATCGAATATGGCTGCCTCGGCCTCGTTGAATTATGTAATTTTTCGTTCACCGTATCTGTGGTTAGGTTTCAGATAGCATAGTTCTGCTCTGTAACCAATCGTCCTTCCACGAGTGGCCGTTCGACTGTAGGCTGATACGGACGAGTGCGATACAGACGGGTTGGTTGCTGGTATGCATTACATTCACTGCAAAGCTCCGGCGCGCTCTGTCCTTGTGGTGCAGAATTTTTTCGGGTATTGTCGGACGATGCTGGGCTATAGTATGCCAGGCTAACTTCCTGTGGGCTGGCTGATAGATCTACTTCAATGGATGTGATCTGTCTGGTGGCTGTCGTCTGATAATATTACAGTCTAGAAGTGTTATAGGCTACGTTCTTGAGGGAAGGGATCATGATAGATAGTCCATTCGAAACAAGGCAGTGATGGTCTCCGACAGGCATCCCTTATCTTAAGTTAAAGAGCTAATCTTGCCAAATTTTTTCTATCCCGACAGTTCGCCAATCTCGCCGGAAAATCGCGACTTGCACTTGACTATTTCGTTACTGTTCAGAATATTTTTGGATGGTCTTCGGTCATGACTAAAGTTTTACTTACACGAGGATGCAGCGTTTCTGTTCTTAATTCTAGAAGGTGTCGGGTTGTGATTCTAGTGATTGATTGTTCATTGCCAATAAAATGCCTGAATTAATAAAAACGCTTGATTAAATTTTTGTTTTTGAGTAAATGAGCTGTTTGGGTAATTGGAACCTCTTCTAAAGTTCTGGTGCATCTAAAAGAGATTCCTTTCATGGGTTGCGGTTTGATTGCTAAATGTTAAATGATTTTACAATAAATTTGTAAAATTGAATCATTTTCTCAAACGAATGCTTGCTTATGCATGAAGAGAAATCTATATTATTTAATTTCGAACAATAGATTAAATTTTACAAACATTAAAACTACAAATGCATGAACTGTACTTTAGCCATCCCTTTATTTTTTGCCTTCTTTTGGTGATTTTGTCCTTGCGTATTATTTGCTAACTTGTCTGGTAAATTGTCTTTTAAATCGTCTTGTCCACCGTAAACTGTTGTCCAACTGTTGATGAAGTCGAGTTTCGCTTCTTGTAGTCTTCACGACAGAAGTTGGACATTAGGGTAATTCTGACTAAATAGGGCTATATCATGACTAAAAATATAAACGGGTAATATGCGTTGATCAACGCCACCCATGAACCAAGAAAGGATTCCACTTTCATCGACTAAAAACGAACAGCTTTGCCTAGCCAAGATTCAAACGATAGCCACTAATTCGCTGTCTAATATTAGCAACTTTAATGCGGGCCGCTTCTACTCTCTGGAAAATTGTTAATGGATGTATAGCAACTTCAATGCGGGCCGCTTCTACTCTCTGGAAAATTGTTAATGGATGTAAAGCATTGTATTTAATACAGTTAAATAGTTTTTGATAACCTATAGTTCACTTTATAGTGTAAAAAAGTTTCATATAATCTCATATCCGTTACCTGTTTAGAAATCATGGGTCACTTTTTTATTACTAGCTGTGTCATTTCAAAGATTTTAGTCAGGTGATCTTCCAACAAACGAATTTCTTAAATTGGTTGATCTTCGGCGAAAGTTCGAAGCAATTGTACAACAAGCACTTCATTTCTGCCCAGTAGTGGCTACTCTATTCATTAGACGCTCTGATGTTAACTCAGGCGGTACGAAAAATATTTCAGCCTCTATAACGCACGGCTGCCAAAGTATACGTTCAGCGTCTTCAATTTGCATCGAGTCCCCTCAACTCGATTAATTTACACAAGTGGTGGGAAACTAATTAACGAGATTCGCTCGAGCTCATTATGGAACTCCAATGAAGCAAACTTTGGTGTTTTTGTGGCATCAACTTGAGACCGCAACATGAGGACTGCCGGGCGTTCAAGTAGTTTGCTCTTCCATCTTGCCCCTGCTGATGCTGCAATCATCTTAATTTCAACGTTGCCGCCAGCCTCGGCCTTGCCAGCATTGGCTGCAGCTCCATTCAAACTTTAGTGCTATTAGTTTCTATGGAAAAGAATCAAACATGTAACTGCGAGGGGCAATAGTATTATATTAAACCGATAATTCGAAGTGATCATGCTGATTGTCAAGTTTGATAATTTCTTTTATCATGAATCGGAAATCATTCTTCCTGAACAGCAAAAAAGTAATCAGTTCTTCGTTGTTGAGTGGAAACCAAGATGCCACCATCTCTTTCCGACCAACGTAAAAAAATTGTAGCACCGCAATTAAACTCTGCGTTATTTCCAACCTGATGCTCCAATTCTTCAAAATAATATCATTGAATTGATTCTTATTGGGGAGGAAGAGCATAGAAGCAGACTTGAAAGCCATATTTTTCGGCATTATTATGTACCCTGCAAAAGATTTTTGCTGTGTAATATGATACTGCAGTCTGTTGAACACTCCATATAAATTATATCGTTCACTAACTTTGTATGGTTCAGTAAGTTAATTTTTATTCGTAGTAAGCTTATCGCGCGTTTTCGAGAACGATACATAAGATTGAGAGGTAACGGCTGCATAAGGAAAATGAAGTCACCAGTTAACACCCATGCACGTCAGATGTTGGGCCTTACTAGGTTAATTTTAAAATGATAATAACATTTTTTCTAGTTGGATTACAGGTAATCCGTAATTATTGTTATAGAAATCCTTGTGTTCTAAGTCAGCTCTATTTATGAATTTCAATACGCAATTTACTCGAGTTTTCAAAAATTTCGACTGTCTGGTTTCAAATGGCAACTTCCGTCTCCCGGAAGACTAAATTTCCTGTACCTTATATTTATTGAAAGTGCCGTTCAATTTCGTTCCGAATGCAAATTACCGGAATGACTGATTCCAGCGCGATCATAATAGTATCGAATTCCAAGTCTATCTTCCGGGTAAAAATCCTCGAGATGGAATCAAAATAAATTTCCGTAAGATCCATGCAGGTTGTCTAGGAATTTTTGCTGCGGGCATCAGCCTTCCTAAGAGTTTGGCCTCGGGAACAAGAAGCTTTTAGCTCCGATTGAACTTGATGGTGAAGATTTGATCTGCTAGAATAAGGAACGCATGCAGTGCTGATTCATGTTATAATTAATGTACTGGTATTTATTTGTTTGCTATTGAGAAATTGATCTTTTTGCTTATTGAGGCCCGAATGATTTATACATTGCTGCACTTCATTAGCATCATTATTGAATTTATTATTTAATTTATCGATTAACACGATTTATTATTTGTGTAATTTCAAAGTGATTTAGCCAATGCCGTTTTTTCCGTAAGCAATGTTTTTTTTGTAAACGATAGGCTAATTTTTATTTTTCGTTTGTATGTGCTGTGAGATGCTGTTATTTTTGTTTCCAATTTAATCTTCCTGTAATTCCTAAAAATGGAATAAACCGAACAACCGAAAAAGAATTACGTGAAAAAGCGATGATTCCTTCGTGTATTTCAGTAATATAACATCCTATTATATTCAAACTAGTAAAAGCAAATAGTAAAAACAGCGAATGACTGATCAACGCATATCCTATCAATTGAAACCTATAGTCAAGCAAGGTTATGTAAATTTTTGAAAACACGGCGCTATTTGCAGCAGCATCTGTTAGTCTGATTTTGCTTGATGCCTGTAAGGATCTATCTTTGCAAGTCGAGAACATTGTAGAACTTGCCTCTCCAAGTCCTTGTTCTGTGCCGACTAAACTTTTTTGGTCAACTTCCAATAAGCGTTCCGCCGTCGACTTCACATCGACAATGGGACCTCTGCGAATTCGTTACTTATTTCTCTGCTGGCATTAAGATCAGATCCAAATAAATTTAAATTTGTTTAAAACCTGTATTAATTCGATGCTAGTTAGGTAGTTGTTTTGATAATATGATCTGACTAGAAAATCGTCAATGAATTTTTTATTAATAACTTGAAATTATATAATATACAAAAATATATATACAGTATATCCTCAAATATCTTACTTTTTATGCTGGCCGTGGGTTCAGAGATTTTTTTTGTCGCAAAACTTAACCCTTCACTTTTTTTACTGCAGGCTGGTAACGACCCTTATTGCTTCGTCGAGTTCGCGGACCGAGCGAGTGCGGAGAACGCTTTGCACACCATGAACAAACGACTCTGCTTAGGCAAGGTAAGTGTCGCTTGGAAAATGAATTACGTTAGTTAATTGACATTGACATTGAGTTACTTCCACTTCTAAGGCAAGGTGTCGCTTGTAAAATATGTTTTGTTAATTAAAAGGCATCGACATTGAATTACATCCCCGGTTAAGGGAAGGTGTCGTTTGTAAAATGAATTACGTTAATTAAGCGGGCTGGATTGCTGGATGTACGTCGGTATTCAATACACACTAGGTATGTATCATAACGAATGTATCATTACGAATCTCAGATTTCATTTAATAGTATATCATGCCTATCGGACATTTCAGTTGGAAACTAGAATTGTTACGACGATCCCATCATCTGGTTCAGAGCATGAAATTGATGTACCGGCTTAAGAAGGATCGGAATTTCCACTGCACTTCTAAATTAGACCTGATGACCGCCCCTAGATAAGATTTAGACCTGATGACAGCCTCTAGATAAGAATTAGACCTGATGACCGCCTCTAGATAAGTTGATAACTATCTGTAATTTCAGAAGCTTATGTAGCACTCGTATAGTTCGAAATAGATCTCATTTGTGGCGATGCGAGTCGGGAATTTTTTTCCTGCAATATTCAATATTCGAGGTTTGGAGTCTTGATCAGTAGAAACATTAATATAAATTTGTTATCACGAATTATATTTCCAAGATTAAGATTTAAGTATGATTGGTGTAAGTAGGACTGGAACATGATAATTGAGTTTATAATGAAATAAATGAAGTGAAAATGCGTAATACTTTTTTTTGCGCCGCTTTTCTGGTTTTCCTATTAACAACTTCGTTGTAAACAATAACTTCTCACGTCACTGAGTCAGCACCTTAAAGCTTCAAACCAGCGGCTGGTTTGCTAGTAGTTGTAAGTCACTGCTTGTCCCCAGTTAAAATTTAGGGCAGGGAATAGAGCAGGCCGTCGCCGGCTGCAGAGCCGGCGTAGAGACGCGACAGAGCAGCGATAGAGCAGAAATGTCCTCTTTAGAGACGATATCGCCAGCCGCGTATTGCCCTGCCGAGCTACTAGAATTTTGTCTCTGTATCTGCCATGGCGCAGCGCAGTTTTAGGGATAGATGGCCGGTTATTGTTTCACGGCTCCATCCTGCTAAAGCGCGACCAGCCCGGCTAAACCCGGCGCCGGTCTCGGCTCAAAATTCTAACTGGGTCACTGGTTTGCTCTGAGCACCTCCCCGTTGCCAGGAGCAAGATTCGATATATGATTCCTTATTTTTTGTGACGTCTCGAGAAGGTGTTACGCAAAAAGCCTCACAGATATAAACATTGTTAGGTGTATGGAAAAACAGTCCGGACGTCAGTGGCAGCTTGCGATAAAGTTCTCGGTCTCTCAGTCCCACTCTTTCGCTCCTCACTCTTCTGCCATGGGCAAGCCGCAAAATACTCTCGAGTTTAGCCTACATATTTGATTCGTATTTGCTAACTCATTTTCGTTTATGTCATTTTTTCTTATTAATTCATGTTCCGCTCTATTATATTCCTTCTTCTCAGTTTCTCGCTGATTTTAAAATAGATTATTCGGCCGATTTTTTTTTATTCTTTTGACGGCTTCGTTATCTCTTCTTTTGCTTGTTCCCTCTCCAATTAAAAAAAAATATATTTATGTACGTACTTCAGGATACACATTACTTCCACTTTTCAATTGTTTCGATTCTCGCAGATCCTTATCATAAAAAATGTTTATACTCTCTTTGGCTTTCTCATTTCCTCACAATCCTCTAAATTCTTTCAAAGCCATTCCATCCATGCAACCCGTGATATTATGTTGAATATTATACATATTGTCATTATTATTTTTACCTATAAATCTTATCCATTACACACAGGAAAATACCTTTCCTGACGCAGAGTTAAATTGTGTGTTTTTGCCGTTACTGGGCATTATTTTTCAAGTTTTATCTACTAAATGAAATCTCAGCACTGAGCGATGTTAAATAACGATTCATTTGAATAAAAAATTCATTTGAATAAAAAACCATTACCAGAGATCTTAAAATTCATAGCAACTCAGCTGTTATCTTCACTTGCAATCTTATAGACTGCCAAGTATTCGAACTGAGACAAATGTTCAGCGCCTTATTGATACGCATGACTTGCAAGCTACTTACTTGGCTCGAGAGGCGCCCCGAATGCCTGATCTGCTGATTGTAACGCCTTCTTCATGGCACTGCATTTCTGAGCGTGCATTTTATCACCACGCTACAGCAACTAGGATGAATCAGAGCGAAATAACTAGTGCAAAAGGTGCATTCTGCATTAGGGAATACGTGAAATGTGAATTGAAATGACGGTGGATTTAAATTCGATGCTATCTTTGATCTGCTGATTGTAACGCCTTCTTCATGGCACTGCATTTCTGAGCGTGCATTTTATCACCACGCTACAGCAACTGGGGTGAATCAGAGCGAAATAACTATTGCAAAAGGTGCATTCTGCAATAGGGAATACGTGAAATGTTGTGTATTGAAATGACGGTGGTTTCAAATTCGATGCTATCTATGATTTGCTGATTGTAACGCCTTCTTCATGGCACTGCATTTCTGAGCGTGCGTTTTATATCACCACGCTACAGTAACTGGGATGAATCAGAGCGAAATAACTAGTGCAAAAGGTGCATTCTGCAGTAGGGAATACGTGAAATGTTATGAATTGAAATGACGGTGGTTTCAAATTCGATGCTTTCTTTGATCTGCTGATTGTAACGCCTTCTTCATGGCACTGCATTTCTGAGCGTGCATTTTATATCACCACGCTACAGCAACTTGGATGAATCAGAGCGAAATAACTAGTGCAAAAGGTGCATTCTGCAGTAGGGAATACCTGAAATGTGAATTGAATTGACGGTGATTTCAAATTCGATGCTTTTTTGTATCCGATTTTTACAGCCACAGTTTCATAATGAGGTTGGGCTCGTCATACTGCACGTTAATTGAATTGAATAGATTGTTTGTGCGACGAAAACCCACCTGAAAATAAATTTCGTAACTTTTTACTTTTCATGTACGAAATTTGAACAACTTTCATGTTATAAATATATATCCTTTTTTTTTTGAAGCGCTGAAGTCCTTAATTTTTAGCACTTTCGTCGTAATTTACCAGATCTTTCAGTTTATGAAGGTAATTTTAACTTAAGCCTTTAAAAAGTTCGAGTTTTAATAACGGGACCTTACTATATGGTACTATTCAGAGAAAAAACAAATATGTGTTGAAAAAATACGAAATTTTCAAATTATTCAAGTGCCATTATAAATAAGTTTATTCATTTTTTCATGAAGACAATTTTTTACAAGCTTTTGTTGTTCATTCTATCAATAAATAGTTCTTTAATTCGCTAACTGTATCAACACGCACCTCTAATACACATCAATCTTTTTTTGAGTTGGCGTTAAACGTGAACAAGTTCTGAGAATGATCTGGTATGTTTAGGCTTAACCTAAACAATATTCTGTATCAAATCTCTCTTTAAAAGTATGTAATTAAAGCCCATAATTTATTGTTCAATTAGCAAAAAAAGTAATTTGCTTAAACTCGGTCGCTTAATATCGAAAAACAACGTAAAGATTTTCCGTAGAGTTCGTTTCATTTCTGGAGTTGCAGCCCGTCGCATGGAACGCTGAATGTGGCAGGAGGCATCGCAACGAATATCACACTCACGCTCGATTGGTCTAGCCTCCACTCGCGTCATTGGTTCAGTCTTTTATTGATATTATTTGCTTTATGATAGATCTTCATATAGGGTTATTCTGACGTTATTTTCTACTCTAAATATTTTGCTTTGCACTGGTGTTTTTTCTTCTGCATCTGGCCGATGAGTTCCACACATGCAGGAGTTTTTTCTAATTGGAAACTCCTAATGCTTTTCTAATTGGATTTCAAGTTGAAACGAATTATTGCAGGAAAATTATTCATTATTTGAATTAACATTTGAAATTGAAATCAACGAGATGGAAACACTCGTAAGACGCTACCTGATTCGAAAATATTGATATAAAAGTACAATATGCTAGTATTTAAAACTGCTATTAATTTACAGTCGTTTATATGCATCCATGTTGAAAATTAGAGCCATACCACAACAGGACGACTATTCGCCATAAGTCTGCCACCGAAAATATGGCTATAAATTTCAACAGGGGTTTGTACAGCTCTTCAAAGCTGGTTATTTCATGAGGTAAACTCATGTACTCTAATCTTGGGGAACCGGCAACTGCGACAACAATACTTGACAAACTTGCGCCCGGTGCGAATCTAAACGCGGATATATGTATTGAGATCTTGGAATCCGGCCATATCAAAGGAATTCTCTTGACTTGTATTCCATTGTACTGAAAATCCACTGAGAATGATTATGGCTAACATAGTATAAACAATTGAATGTTTGTCTACGAGGACCCTAAAGTCATTTAAATTTTCTAATTCCCTTTTGTGAACATGCATTGATGAAGTTCATATATCGTAAGACCTTGGTTATGTATGCAAGTGGTATTCGCTCCCGCAACTGACTATTTGATTCTGGCTGGCTACACTGCATTCCGATGACAATACCTGCTTTGTGCGATATTAATGGAAGAAAATTTCTATTTTGCATGTGACTTCCTTGTATACATACCTATTATTTATTGTTTATTGTCGAAAAGTTTTAGGCAGTCTGAATTTGTTTGTATTAAATGCTCCTGGTCTTACATATGATAACTTGATAATTCACGTACATATGATTACAGAATGCGTTACCGTATTTACTTGGAACATGAAACGTACGTGGTATTATCCCTTTTTATGCTCTCCATTTAAATAGATTCTGCTCTACGATTAACATTTAAGCTATTATATTCCAAATTATTTTCCAGAGCTTTCCTTTCTTCTCCTTCAAATGCAGCTGCTGCATCCTTGCTCCATCGATGACGTTTATTCGTTGCGCGGAGGTAAATTTTTGGAGCAGGTTTAAGAGTAGTTACAGAGCTATCAGTGACTCGTACG